CAGCTCCCTACACCCAACCTTCTGCCCCCCCACATCCCTGCTTCCACCAGCCCCCTAATCTCCCCGGCCTGCCCTGATTCCCCCATCCAGTGCTGTTTCCAGTGGCCAGCTCTCCCCTCATCCTCCCTCCGCCACCCTCCCCTAGCTAGGACTCTGCTGGGAGTCGGAACATCTGGCTGCAGATTCTGCCCAGGCCGGCCAAGGACTTGGGGGACCTGGCGCCACACGGGCACTCCGGGAGCGCAGAACACCCTGGCAACCATTCTAAGGCCCAGTAGTTTTTTCCTGTGGCTCGGTACCAGACCACGGCCCATAGTTTGGGAAATGCTGGAGTAAGCCATTCTCTCAGCAACAGTCATGCACTAATAGTTTTTACGTCTCTTTCTTAATTCACTCTTACTGAAAAAGAAATACTCTACAGTGAAATAAAAAAGAAAAATAAATATGAGGCAGTGTTTTCCAAAAATTCTGAAATGCCACAAATTACAAAAGATTGTTATTATTCTTCATTTTCATATTTAGGAGTCACCATTTTGCATGATACAGACATGTAATTGCATAAGGTCATAATCACATTCCATATGCTTGCAAGTTCCTTACCGCTGCTGGAAGCCTGTTGTGGCCCTGAACATGCTCTTAGAAGATATGAATTGGGAGAGAATTCCTCATCAGGGTTGGTATCCATGATCTGATGGGAGGTATTGCTGTCTAGCAATGGCATCTGGCAGCCTACCGGTGGAGGATTATGGGAACTGGGCAGCTGAGCAGATGGGAGAAGGCTAGACGAGGATGTAGGTGGAATGGGACGACCTGAGAAAGAGGACATAGGGATCAAAGATCAGCAATGAGTGTAATGAAAAAATACAAAAAAAAAAGTCACCTTGATACAGGCCATTAATACATATGATTAAAGTTGGGGCAGAATCAAAATACCTATTGACCACTGGTACCAACTCGCCCCTTTGTTATCATATTCAGAATGATAAGCTATGTTGTGAAGGCATTCCAGGAATGTCACCACAGCATCAGCCTGTAACTGGTAAGATGAGCTGAGGCTGAATGAATGAGATTGGTAAAAGGCCTGGCTAGTTGCAAGACTATCTCACAGAAATGTGCACAAATAAGAAAACCAAAGGATCAGATCTTGTGCGTGTTAAGCTCCTGCATATCTCAGTCGCAATCATTTCAGCATTTAAGCCAAGGAGTTTTCATAAAAAAACAACACCTTGATTCCTTATAATTTATTACAGAAAGAAAACCCCGTGGAAAGCATATTCCCATGTGTCACATTATTGGATTTTAAAGTGAGCAGACAGATCATTGTGTCGCCCATGTGAGGCGTTTGCCCCAAATTCTGTACGAAGTGGGCATGTGAGGTGTCAAATGAAAGCTTATCCTCTAGTGATTCTATGCATGGTACTCATATACTTACATGGTTTTGTATGTGAAGTGATGAATATGGGCTCTGTGCTTGTATTTTAAATGTTCTCTCTCTGGGAGGGTGCAATGAGCCTGGACTGCCTATTGTGAGGAAGGATTGTTCAGTGAATGGCTGTGCTAATTAGCTTTATAGACAATGGTTCTCAGAGTGGCCAATACACACCTGAGGAAAGCATCTAGAGAAGCCTGCAGACCAGCCAGAGCAAAATGGCTACTTGTATGTGAAACACAGACAGGTCACTTGATCAGCTTCAGTTTAGGAGACACCAGGAATATAAAAATCTCCTGAGGCTGTCTCCATCTTGTCTTCAGACCTGCTCCCGATTCCCGATTCATCCTTGCTATGGACAGAGCACTGGGAAGGATTTGGTGACCTATCCTGATACAGAATGTACACCAGAAACTTTTAAGCTAGCAGTTTATAACATCTCTGCTAAGGGCCTGCATCAAGAATTTGGTGACTGATGTATTTAATGTATTCTCCTTAATCTCACTCTTAACCTTTTCTTTCTTTTATCAATACACCTTTAGATTTTAGGTTCTAAAGGACTGGCCCAGTGTGCTCTTGTGGGTAAGATCTCAAGTGTAAATTGGCCTGGGACTGTGGCTGGTCCTTTGGGACCAGGAGGATCTGTGTGGAGTTGGTGAGATTGGATTTTATAACCTCTCACCTGTGTGTAAGGTCTGAGACTGATTGTGGCACAGGGAAAGCTGGGTTGTCTGAGGGGTTTTGCTTGTGAGGCTTGCTGCTGGCCAGATTGACAGCTGAAGTGCTCTGTGTGAATGATCTGTTGCCTACATGGGAAAGCTTTCCAGTTGTGGGCTGTAAATAGCTCGGGGTTTCAGCAATTCACTCTGAACTGACTCCCTCAGCAATGCCCAGATCTGACCTGGTCTATTACACCATGATTACAATGCAGGTCAGTAACCTGCTCTTAGATCTACGTAATGCTGTCCCTCATGTGGCTTTCACAATGGGATTATGTATATGCTTAAAATGAAGTGTATGCCTATCCCTCATTTCAGCAGAGTACTTATGTTTCTCCTGTTCTGTATCTCAGACCACTTGGGCCCAATCCAGCAAAGCACATAGGGTTTGATCCAGAGACCAATTAAAGTTAATGGGTGTCTTTCCATTGATGTCGACAGGCCAATGGGATTAATTACAATTTAAATATGTGCTTAAATGTTTTGTGGGACTTGGATCTTGGACTTGGCCAGAATGCCTACACGAAGATAATCACTGGCTACACCTTTTTCTTTTCCATTTTACAAAACCTTGTAACTTCCTGTTGGGTGATTTAGAATGCTCAGACTGCTTTCCACCAGCAGAAGACAGGAAAGCAATGCAGCTCATACAAAATTAAACCATTCTCCTGTCATCCTTTCTAGCTGCATGTTCACTGGGATTGGACCCTCACTAAAAGGGGAAAATATAATTCCTACAGCACTTTTGAAGAGAGAAATAGTGCATGACAGTCCTTCCACACTGGGGTAGCTAGATGCTTAATTGGCCTGGGGTGTGTAATCCCTATTACTCAGACAGACAATTATTCGTTATCCCCACAATATCATTCCCAGAAGTAACATTTTCTGAGGCATGACTATGGGCAATGGGCAGTGCAACTGCAGCATAATCAAAATGCCAATGCAAATTAAGCATGATATATTGGAACAATATTCTTCCTAATTTTGTCTTTGTTTACATTTCTTGATGTGTACACTCTGTGAAGTCCCCAATCTGACAAGTAATTAGGATGTTTAGTTACTTTGGATCTTCTGTCTACAATAATATTTCCTGTATGGTAAATTTTACGGTGTTTGCTAAGCAATTTCCATGTTTTATTAGATTACTCACATATTTTTCCTGCAACTAGGAAACATGCCAGAAGGTAAGCACTGGAAGCAAACACAAATAATGGGCCTGATACCCAGAAGTCAATGGGAACTTGGCCACTGACTTCAATGGGAACAAGCCTGTATATAATAGGTTTCATACATAGTGATGATAGTTACACTGTTTTTTTTTCTGCTCTGTAGGATCCTGCACTGCAGGAAAGATGCATTAGAAATACAAATTACTTGCAAAATCCTGTAACAGAGGACATCCTCCAGTTGTGGCAATCACAAGTAGCCATGAATCGTCCTCACAACAGGATTTAAACAAAGGTAGAAATAAATGCATGAAATAACTAAACATAGCATGACCCCTTTGTGACCACAGCAGGCATCAGCACAGGTAGAATTCTGTCACTAATAATAACTGCTTCCAATGGGTGCTCATTGGAATCCTGGGCCAAGAGATGTATGAGAAGAGCACGGATTATAACCAGCCCTAACGCCCCCTTACAATGTTTTTGCTGCTGAAGACAGGGGACAGCGATAAGAATACCTCATTCCCGTCAATGAAATAATACTACTGTGAGAAATGGGCCACAACTAGGAGTTGAGCCAGAGGCGTATTATAAGGGAATGCTTTAACACTCAACCCAAACTCCCCTGTGTGAATGCAGAGACTGAGCCATTTCTGAGTCTTTGCCCTGGACGACTGAGAGCCACGTGTAATGGAAAACTCAAATTTGCAGGAGTGTAATAAGGCTGAACGTGGGTTTGGTCGACTATAATTTTACACCCTCTCAGTCCCCACTTTTCCCTAGTCCCATCTTTCAGCTATAGAATCTCTCCGCCCATTGTAGAGTCTTTCCTTCAACACTTGAGTTGTGATCTTCCCCCCAAGTGAGGCAGCCCAGCCCACCCCAACGTGCAGCTGGCTGAAATCATGATCATAGGGCAATGTTGCCTGACTCCGGGCCTTTGAGTCACCATACACTTTCTTCTCTGACAAAAGGACTCATATTCCCAAGATCTTGCCTTAGTCTAATCATCCTGACAAATGGGTGACAGAAGAGTCATCTATAGGGAATGGGGGGAGGGGAAGGGAAGACCTGCACGCCTGATTTTGGAAGGAATAAAAAAAGTCTTGTGTCTGGTGAGTTGGAGAAATTGTTCAAGCACAGTTTATCCATGTGGAAATGCAGCCTCTGTGATGCTGCCAGAGGCAGTGAGGCATAGGAAGATATGTGCTAGCCACAAACATTAAAGAGGCAAGACCGGTGCACCCTCATTTTCAACATTTCTAAAAATGCAGCAGTGAAGAAAATGTACAATCTGAGCATTTGATTTGGGTGGTAGGGGTTCTGTTTGTCTTTTGCCTTATCCATACTGTTTTGTATCATGAAGCATTAGCTTTTATTTTTAATTGTACAGTAATACCTAGGGAAGGAAGCTCTCAGTGGTACACACCAAATTGTAGAAGACACTTTATGCATATGAAATAATAGTGCACCTTCCAGCTACTCTTTTGCTTAAGTTAGATAAGGTATGCAGAGATCAACCTTGCATTACTCAGTGTATGTCTACACTACAGCGTTATTTCGAATTAACTTAATTTGAATTAAGCTAATTTGAAAGAATGCATCTAGACACAAAAACTAATTCAAAATAGCGTTTTTCTAATTAGAAATAGCACGTCCACATTCAGTCGACCCTGAATCAAAGGTAAGGCTGGACGGAACCAGTGCCAGCAGGGCATCAGGGTTGGGCTTAGTGTGTAGGGCTGCTGCCTCAGGCTAGCTGAGGTCTGTGCTTAAAGAGACCCGACCCCCCCATCTAAGACAGACAGTTCTCAGGTTTCTCTGCTTGCTGGTCTACCTCGCTGAGGGACAGCAAAGCATTTGTTTCTCAGAGTGCTCTGCTTGCCCTCACTCGGGGCACCACAGCACTCTGCAACATGGAACCAGACCTGCCCCTAGGGGCTCTGCTGCGTCTCGTGGACACATTGCCAGCAGCCTGGCTGCACTGTCTGCAGGCTGCCATCCGGGAGGACCATCAAGGGGCTGTCAGGATCCAGGGGGCCCTGCGGGAGAGCTTCCACCCTGAGGAGTGCTAACAGTCTCCCCGGTCTGCCCCACCGGAAGCTTGTGCCCCATTCCTCCCTCTCATCCTTCCACTAACCCTTCCCTATCCCCCCCCTTCCCGATGTCAAATAAAATACACGTATTTTCAAAAATAACAACTCTCTTTATTGAACGCAACTGGGGGGGGGGCATACCGGGTCAGACCAAAGGTCCATCTAGCCCAGTATCCTGTCTGCCGACAGTAGCCAATACCAGTGGCCCCAGAGGAAGGGAACACAACAGGTCATCCTCATGTGAGCCCTCTCTCATCCATATCCAGACAAAGAGAGGTTAGGGACACCATTCCTACCTATCCTGGGGGAAAACTGGGAGGAGGGAGCTGAAAGGGGGAAGCAAGGGAAAGGAGGGGGTGGGGAAACTCAGGGATCAGGGGTGAGGGTCTCGCCGGGCCAA